CAACTCAATTGGATGCGTGGTTAAGGAGTTATGGTCTTGCCCCTTTCAAAACCCTAATTCCCGATTTTTGTGATTACTCCCCAATCCTTGATCCAATGGTCATGAAACTTCATGGGTAGGTGCAATATATCATCAGGAACATTTTTTATTCCCACCTTAGGTCAATTTCCTTATGAGTGAAGAGTTGACTTTTCGGTCAACCGAACGATCGATCGGTGACTACCGAGTCGGCTGTTGATGCTCCGGGTCTTTTGAGTCCTTGAAACTTCTTGATTAGACTTTACCAATCCATATGAACCTTATGGACTATGATCCCACCATTGTAACACCTTTTAAATCAAAAGTCAAACCATAATTGACTTTTCCTGATCGAAAACCCTAATCGGGTAACCTGAACTGCACTGTCCTTGATTCTTGGGTGACAACCTCAAATTGGATTCATACTTGATCCCATGGAGTATGTTTGATGATGTGGAGACTCATTTCATGGAGAACCAATCCAATACGTTGACTGATTAACCGTCGAAACCTCGATTTCGGCTGTTCGGAACCCTGATTCACTTGTATCTTAACAAAGACAAACTTGAAACAGGTTAAGGTTAGATAATCAAATGAATATGATCCTAAAATGATGATGAAGATCTAAGGGGTCAAAATTTAGGGTATGACAGTTGCCCCTATTTAAATATTTTCACTAGATGGCGATGAGAGATGATAATCCTCACATAATCGTAGTGAAAGGTATTTAAATATAGCAAACCAAAATTTTTTGTCCCTTAGATCGGATGGTATGCAAAAGGACAAATGCGACTATGCCATGAATCTAAATGATGCTTTATGATGTTTGAATGCAAGACAGATGCAGACACACGAGCAAAGATAAAAGAACGACAATACAACGAGTAACTACTCACGGGGGACCCAACACACTAGGGAAAGATCCAAGGCAGAACAAAGCAAAGTAGTTCAACGTGACTAAAGATGCTGCTCAAGGGGAATCTTTCACACAGGGGACGCAAACTCCACCAGGGAAGACAAATCTTCAATGGGGAAAAGGAGACATACACTCCGTTGGGGATGAAGGCAATTCTCCATCGGGGAAATGAAAGAAAAGAGGCGCAAACCTCACTGGAGACGACCAAATGAGGAATTTCCTATAACGAAGAGTTCGAACCGGATCTCCAGGAAAAGAACAGAAACAATACCAGACGCACTGGGGATGCTAGTATCCACTACATCTCCAAGACTCGAATGGGAAAGCAACGACTTTGCTGGGAACACTGGTGACGACCAGAACAACAAACATTTTCAAAGGGGGGCTAGTTTCCACTAGACTTAATGAGGAATTGATTTTAAAATTTTTCACTTGCAGATTTTATGTACATTTGAAAAATTATTCAACCGGTTTATTGTAAATTCGAGAATTTATTCTGGTTGATATTTTAGCCATTATGTGTGATGAAAGACATGTTATGTTATGAAAATGATGGAGAGTGAAGTAAAATAAGATTTATGAACGTTTTTAAAATGCAAAGACAAAGTTGGAGTACGACAGACTAATCTTGTCCAAAACCTTCAAATCCCCACTTTAATCTTGAAGGAAAACCCCACATTAGTTTTCTTATTTGAAACCCCCCAAAGATCTCAATCCAATTTACAATACCACAAGATAAATTTGACATTATCAACTTGATTCTATATGGCACCCAAAACAATGAATTATCATGTGTACTTTGTTTGTGTGTATGCATAAAATCAAGGTTGAACATGAAGAAGACTCTTTGTATGTTTCAAGTTTCGTTGATGATTTTACCAAAACCATTAAAAAGAAATTATATATATATATATATATATATATATATATATATATATATATATATATATATATATATATATATATATATATATATATATATATATATATATATATATATATATATATATATATATATATATATATATATATATATATATATATATATATATATATATATATATATATATATATATATATATATATATATATATATATATATATATATATATATATATATATATATATATATATATATATATATATATATATATATATATATATATATATATATATATATATATATATATATATATATATATATATATATATATATATATATATATATATATATATATATATATATAGAGAGAGAGAGAGAGAGAGAGAGAGAGAGAGAGAGAGAGAGACACACACACATACACGTGTGAGCAAGTATAAAACAAAAGGAATGGAAAACAATGTAAATTTTCAAGATTTTTAATGTATGTGTCGACCTATGCAAGTCATAGGTCGACCTGTAAAGGTCACGTGTCGACTTGTGAAGGCGACACATCTAACAGAGCCTACGGGATTTAAAAATGCAGTACATGTGCCGACCGAAAAAGTGGATGTGTCAACACATAGAAATTTTTTCTTCTATGTGTCGACCTGAAACACAAATGTGTCGACACATAGACATATATTTCTTCTATGTGTCAACCTAAAACATGTATGTGTCGACACATAGGTCATTTTTCCATAAAAAAATCTCTTCTTGATACTTGAATCTTTTCCAAACCTTTTTCAATATGTTGTCATGCTTCCTAATGTAAAAATGCACAATTAGACTCATATGATACCGTCTAATGTACATAAACGCTAATGTATCCTGGTTTTGACATCATACAAAATACATCTAGCGAAAATTTGCACTCACAACCTCTTGAAGAGAAACATGAACTTTCTTCAATTCCCTTAAATATGTATCTCGTTGGGATGCCAAACTGATTACACTCATCTCTAGCTGAGTCTTTTCCTCATGTGCGCAGTCTGTTCAAAGAGCCTCCCAATAGGCAAATCCAGCCAAGGATAAAGCAATATAAGTTCGTTTAGTAGAATGAGCCAGAGTGTTCAACTATATCAGTAAGGAATGCTTAAAGAGGCTAGCAAAAAATGACCAATCATCCTCGAAGGGTGAATCATGTTGACCACGAGAACAATCAGGGCGAGAGTCGGGCTCCACATGCAAACTCGGTAAATCAATATTTTGAGAAAGTTTTGGGGAAGGAATAAGACCCACAGTAGGGCGAGGTGGTTGTATTCCCTGCTTTAATAGTTGGACCATCACTTCATCCTCCGTTGCACCTCACAAAAATACCATCGTTATTTCAAAACGAGCACAATGAAGGGAAACCTAAAATGAAGATTAAAAAAGGTTCTGAGCTTACCAAAGGCAATTCAACGACCTTCACGAGAACAAGTCCCTATCAATTGGGAGGCGTCTATCAAATGCTTCTAACATTTCTTGTCAGCCTTATCTCAGGAGACTACACCCCTGACATAACCTAAGTCGATAGCAAAATCTAACGAATTCTTCTTCTAAAAAGAATCCTTGACAATAAATTCACTTTCTCCATAAAAATAGGAGTCGTTCTCTAAAAGAAAATGTTTCTCCGACCAACAAGTGGGAAACAACGACTTAAATTTACCTTTCACCCCAGTCTCAATCTTGCAAATAGTCGCATGGGCCCGTGGATGAAGGGGAGGTAAATAAAATGGGTTCGCAAAAGACGGTGGTTCAGGAAAAACTTCAAAAATCCAAACCGTCGACACCAAAAGAACAAACTTCTGCTTCTTGGGTCGGGCTAAAGTACTCCGATTGTAGTGGAAGAGATAAAAAAACCAAACAACAGAATGTTTTCCATTTAGATACTCACACCAGTACTGAAAGGCCTTAACATACGCCCGGCTAGTGGGATGAAGTTGAGATGGAGTCACCATCAAATAGTTAGAAACACTTACTTCAAAAGGGCAAACAAACCCCCAAAAATAAAAAGAGATACACATATAGAAGAATGATACAATTACCATACTCAATACAAATCTTGTATTCATCACTAGAAATAGTAAAGTGATGGGAGAACGACGATTGTTCGAGGATTCAAATTTGAGTTTGTTAGAAGTAAAAATGATCTCTGACCCATCTTGTTATCACGCCTAATTGAAAAGTTCAGATTGATCATATATCAAGGACGCAAATTTATGTGAAATGCTCTGGCTACCTTATTCTTAAATCATGAACCCATACCACTTTAGTATGAAAAATGTCATACGAAGCCTGTCAATATATTCTCTTATAATTTATTATGTAACTAATTTCTAGTTGCTGTTATGGACTTTGACCCCTTTCTTATAAATAAAAACATAACAATAAAACTATCTCACCACCATTTACAAAAATATTTGGAAACATATACTTGAGAATATGATAAATTCACTTTATTCAATAATCTATACTAATTTTTTTGAAGAAAATTAATATTCATGATAAGTCATATAATTTCTTATCTCTTTTTCTAATTTATTATTTTTCATTTCTAGATAGTAATATGGTAGATACATTTTATAATAGAAACAAATATATATATATATATATATATATATATATATATATATATATATATATATATATATATATATATATATATATATATATATATATATATATATATATATATATATATATATATATATATATATATATATATATATATATATATATATATATATATATATATATATATATATATATATATATATATATATATTAGTTAATTTTTTTTATAAGCGAGATTAGTATATAAATTTTAAATCATTTTTACATTAAATATATCTTTATCTCTTATTCAATCAAATAAACTAATATTTGTTTTGCATCTACTATCTACTTCTACAATATAACATGATGCAAAAGAAAGAAAAAATTATCTCTGTATTATATTTTCTAAATTCCACAACAAAAGTAATTATATGAAATAAAATTTGTTTTATAACCTTTTGTTTAAAAATAAACCCCCCGCCAACATGACTCCAATTTGGGCTCCCTCCATTTTCACAAAATTTAAATTAAACCCTAAATAAACAAAATTAAAATTAAAATCCCTTCATATTCTTATTACCATTTTCGTTGATTCTGAAAATTTCCATGGCGGAATGTGAAGTTCCTTCGTTCTCTCTAGGGTTCGATCTTGATCTCCAAGACTCGCCCTCACATTCACCCAATCCTGATCCGCACCTAATAGTACCAGACTCCGAATCCGACCCGGAAACCCGGCCCGATCCACCACGCCGCATCTTCAAACGCCTCCGCCGTGGTCTCTCAACCTCCTCAGTTCACCACAAAACCGAACCGCCTCCGTGCACAGACATAGACGATGATGATATCGAGGAGTTCTCAGATCAAGATGAACCTGTTCAAGGTCATATTGTTTATTCTTTTATTATTATTTTTTTGTTAGTGTATAGTAATATAAAAGGAATTTGAGTTTAATCTGGTAATTTGTTATGCCAAGCTATTTTTCATCCATTTCTGCTCTCATGAATTAAGAAAAGCTTATTTTGATTATGAAGTTTCTTCATTAGCTTATATAATATTTGTTTTTTTTTTCTGCCTATGATTGTTAGGTTATTTATTTATTTTGATTGATTCTGATTTAAGTGTGTTCATTTTTATGATATTGATTAGTATCCGCACGTCCCTCGGTTCGGAATCAATCTATATGTCGCAGCTCAAAAGTGTCATTGAAAAGTATTGGAGTTTTAACTCCTCATAGGGATAAAAAAAGAAAGCCGGGTTTAGAAATTCCCCATTCTGTTGAGTTGGAGACTAGCCATTGTGGGTCCATGTTTCGCAAGTTAATGGCTAGTCCTCTTCGCAGGTTTCAATTAATTGAATCTGACGATGATGATGATATGGTTGGTGAGGATGTCAATGGTGGAAGTAAACTTGGACCTTCCTCGTCAACGGGGTCAATGTGTAATAGAAACACACCTGTGATTTCTTTGGAACGAGATGGCAAGAAGCAATTTGATGATGTGAACCGAAATAAGAAGGATTTGCCGATACATCTTTCTCCGGTGAAGAATTTCCTCATTCCTAGGGATAAACAAGCTTCTGTTGGATTGGAAACAGGCCAGAGTGGGTCGGTGTTTCCCAATGGCAAGTTAGCAGCTAGTCCTCTTTGCAGGTTTCCATTGATTGAATCTGATGATGATGATGATGATGATGATGATATGGTTGGTGAGGATGTTAATGGTGGAAATAAACCTGGCCCTGCCTCGTCGACGGGGCCAGTGTGTAATAGAAACACACCCGTGGTTTCTTTGGAGCAAGATAGCAAGAAGCAATTTGATGATGTGAACCAAAATAAGGGGGATTTACCGATACATTTTTCCCCGGTGAAGAATTTCCCCATTCCTAGTGATAAACAAGCTTCTGCTGGATTGGAAACGGGACAGAGTGGGTCGATGTTTCCCAATGGCAAGTTAGCGGCTAGTCATCTTCGCAGGTTTCAATTGCTTGATGATGATGATGATGATGATGATGTTATGGTCTGTGAGGTTAAAGTTGGCCCCTCCTCATTAACCGGTAACCGAAACAGACCTCCTAGTTCTTTGAAACAAGATAAAAAGGTACGGTTTGTTGAAGCAAACCAAAATCAGAAACATCTTTCCCCGGTGAAGAAGAGTTTTTCTATTCCTACACCTGCCTTCCGTGATGTGTGTGAAGAGTACTTCCATTCTGCCAAGAACACACAGATGCCGAAATCTAATGAGCCATATCGTGGGGCTAATTCTGAATGTCAAAAGAATGAACAAATGTGGGGAGCGGCGGGTCCTCTTCCTCCTGCTCATCGTTACTTTTTCCACGACAATCCAAAAATTCAGCAGTTAGTTCGCAATCGCCTGTGTAATTTTTCTCCATTAGGTGACAACACAGTGAATCAACAAGAAAATATTGATTACATGTAACCCACGAATATTCTTTCCTTAATTATTTTTATTTTTTTATCATAGTTAAGAAGTATCTCACAAGCTTATGTTTTGATTTCAGAGGACAATTTGACAATGGAGGATCAACAAGCAGAAGAAGCAAATCAAAAAATTTGAATGGTTCTGAAGGTTGGGTAGATCCCAAAATCATTTCTAGTAGTACTAGAAAGAAAGCAACAAAGAGAAACAGCACTAAGAAAAATAATGAAACTAGCAAATTAAACTCTTCAAATGATTCTGCAAGTTGGGTGGAACCAAAAGATGCAGGTCAAAGGCGTGTACAAGCAAGCGGTGAACCGGCTGGTCATTGGTATACGGGATCAGATGGAAGAAAGGTATGTTAAAATTTCTGAAGAATGTTTCATCCTTTTAGCTGGTTCAATTTGTTTATTCATATTGCTAGAAGCTGCTCATATAAAGCTACAAACTTGATGTGTTATTTTGTTACAAAAAATAAAAAAGCCAACCATCTTGTTATATTTTTCCTTTTTGAGGAATTATTATTGTGTGTGTTATGTTATTATATGTTGCCATAGTTTTCCTTTTTGAGGAAATATTAAGTGTTTTATAGATATCATTATATATTGCTATTTATTTTTTTCTGAAGAAACATATTGTAAAATTCAATTGTTCCTCAAGTTTCTATCTTTCTAATGTCGCTCTTGCTACATACTTTTTATGTCATTCAATTCCATTTTATTACTCTAGACACTGCAACAACTTTAATGCAGAAAATGTCAGTGTTGTTTTACATCTCATGGTAGAAATCAAGGATTTACTGCCGAATGTGTTTGTTTCTGTAACAAAATGTCAATTTGATGGTTTTTAATGATTCAGAATATGGAAATTTATTCTGCAATTCCTTTTATCTTCTAGCAACGAACAACATTTCAGCATTCTCTAACCTTACAGTCATTCTTGCAATTCTCATACAATTTATCTTGGGCCTTCTCTAAGTTAGCAGAAACACATTTCAGCATATTGTATCAATTGATCAAAACTTGAATTTTTATCTTTTACATTGTAGGTTTATGTCAACAAAAGTGGGAAGGAGTCCACAGGGCGAAATGCTTATAGAAATTATCGGAAGGTACATACATTCACTTGCAAATTATTTTAATGTTGCTTTTTGGTTTTTATTAATGGTATCTGTTACTGAATTCCTTTTGATGTTTACAGGAGAGTGGAGCAGCATCCCAAAAATCCAAAAAGAAAACAACTGCCAAGAAGGGAAAGTAAACTTTGATGCAGTACATTAAATTTTTTTTTTTGAACAGGTTCCTGTAAATTGCCTGTTGATACGCTTATTTACATCACTAACATGTATAATCGGAGAAAACATGTCTTGTAAAAAAAAGAAAGAGGAGACTTTTTCATGCAGTTTTTTGAATGCCCAAAACCTACAATGTTATCTAGTGTTGAATCACACTATCATATACTATGATCATGAATGGGTGTTACATAGTAATTCTATTGCTGTTTGCTATAAAATTTGTAATATATACTTGATCTATTGGTCTAAGGGAGTTGGTTTAATGGTTGGGATGCAAAATTACCAATATGTAATTAATAAAGTAAAGTTATAAAATCAAATTGACATTTTTTAAGTCAAATTAGTAAGATTCTCATTCTTGGTATTATCCTTTAAGATTTTTAAAAAATATAATTTAAATATACTTTCTCCCAAAACACTGAGAGTTTATAGTGTCAAAACGATATAAATTAAGTTTTTCTCTATCAATGAAAAATATATGCTTCAAATTAAAAAATTAGTGTAAGAAAAAGTATATAAAAATACCATTTTTAATTTGACTTTATGTAATTAAATTTTGTACACACATTCAATTATATCTTACTACACTGATAACAACAAAGTGGCCAAATAATTAAACTTTTTACAGCCACAAAATTTTCAATATTTAAATAAATTACCTTCCACAAAAATATTCTACCAAAGACAGACTATATTGCTGATTTTATAAAAAAAAAATCAAGTATGTGACAGAAATTTCAACCACAAACAAACTTGGGAAATATCCACCACAAGTGACTCCACCTCAACATTGAAATTGGATGAAGAAATAGAAACGTGGACCAATGATAACTCAATAGCTAACATCTTTACCCAATGGAAATCTAATTTTGGATTTGCTTATATCCTCACCACTCTTCTATATTCCTTCCAACAACTTTCACTCATTCATTCACATAATACTATTGCAAGAACTGTCACTCAAAAACTATTCTCATTGTGTGACAAGAATCACAAACATGGCTTGCAACACATTGATGAGTTCAGCTTTCTCAGCTTTTCCATCTCTTCTTTCTTCCTCAAAATCAAGATTTTCAACTTCAACTCCACTCCCTTGTGTTGCTTTTGCCAATGCTTCTTCTAGAATCACCATGACTTCTGATTGGATGCCTGGTCAGCCTAGACCTTCCTATCTTGATGGTTCAGCTCCAGGGTATGTATAGATTCTTTTTTTCTTTTGGTTATGTAGATTGGTGAATTGAGTTCAATAGTAGTTGAATTATAAGTTTAGTTGTGTAAAATAATCATTAATAAAAACGGTTGTAAAATAATCATTAATATCACTCACAGTTATAAATGATGTATTTTTATATCATGTCGTAGTATAATAGTAATGAATTAGTGCATGAATGATTGTGTTTCAGTGATTTTGGATTTGATCCTCTTCGACTTGGTGAAGTACCCGAGAATCTTGAGAGATTTAAAGAGTCTGAACTCATTCACTGCAGATGGGCAATGCTTGCTGTTGTAAGTATATCTCCTTTTAAGAGCCGCATGTTTGGATTTGGATTAACAGTGAAATCATCACGCTGACATCTTAAGATATCAGTGTGATGATTTCGCTGTTAGTTTTGCACGGTGAAACCTTAGTAAGTTTGTTATATTTTGCAGCCAGGGATTTTGGTACCAGAGGCATTGGGGTTAGGAAACTGGGTGAAAGCACAGGAATGGGCAGCACTTCCTGGAGGACAAGCAACCTACTTAGGAAACCCTGTTCCATGGGGTACCCTACCCACCATTTTGGTCATTGAATTCCTTTCTATTGCTTTTGTTGAGCACCAAAGGAGTATGGAGAAAGACCCTGAAAAGAAGAAATACCCTGGTGGTGCTTTTGATCCTTTGGGTTACTCTAAAGACCCAAAAAAGTTCCATGAATTCAAAATCAAAGAAGTTAAGAATGGTAAGTAACATCTCGTTGAAATTGTTAACATACTTGAATGTCATTAACCACGATTTCAGTTATTTCAACTAACTTGTGGTTAATCTCATTCAAGTTCATGGTTACTGAAGTTCTGTAGATGATTAATGAATTTGTTGAATTTTGTTATTAGGACGTCTTGCTTTGTTGGCTTTTGTTGGAATATGTGTTCAACAATCAGCATATCCAGGGACTGGACCTTTGGAGAATTTGGCAACTCACTTGGCTGATCCATGGCACAACAACATTGGAAATGTTCTTATTCCACCACAATAGATTTCAACCTCAATCTTCCTTATATATTAGCAGCTACTTGTTAAACTTCACCAAATACATTGTTTTGTAATGAATCAGATCTCTCTCTATGGTGTTGTTTTCACTGTCTTTGTAATTAAACTTTCAAAAATTAGATACCTGTTGGTATCAAAGGAGTTAAAGTTTGAAGTTAACCTGATATATCCATCGTTATTAGATTTTGTTGTATGATTTTCAATGCACAATCCTCAATATTGAATCCAGAAAGCAAGTTAAACAAGAATGTATTAGAAGCCTTTCAAATTTCAATCCCTCACACTTGAAATACAATTAATTTAGTTGTTGATTTAACATCATAAATTAGTGTCACGGTAGCTTGTTTAGTTGCTATGTACGTCTGCTCTCGGTGCTCAAACTGCTGCTACCTACTCCGCCGACGCGATTCGGTTCCCCGACCCTGGCTGCCAAAGCAAGAACTTCAGGGGACATCTCCCAGCTTCCGCTTTTTCTTCCCCAGCTAGATCGCCTAGGATGTATTCCAACACGGTCAGCTGTCTCGTCTACTGTTGTCCTGATTTCCGGAGAGTTGTCTCCGAACTCCCCATCCTTTACAGCCACGCGACTGTTTAATTGACCTTCGCAATGATCGATGTTGCTACCCATGTCACCCCAGACTGCTTTCCTTCCCATCTCTATGTCGTCAACAGCTTTTCCCATACTTGGGCTCATAAAGCCTCCGCCCACTGATCGAGCGGGTAATACTGGCTCAATTGGGACCTTTGCCCTGAAATTATTTTTTGATGAGGGAATGCTGGTGAAGAATATCTCTTTGAAATTATCGAACACTCCTCTGTTATATGGGTTGGCCCGTCGATCATATCGGTATCTGAAGTTCTCATATGTAGTCTGCAAGAACAATGAACACCGATATGAAGCTGTAAGTACCTTAGAATTGCCAGGTTATTTTTAAAAACCAAACCGGACAGTTCAGCTGATTGAACCTCGCCGGTTTGATGCCGAGTTCGATTCTTGAAAGAAATATAAAGACTAAAAAAAGAAGCCATTACCTGATTAGTACTTATGAGATATAAATGAAAGGCGGTCAGGCCACCCACAAACCACATGCATATGAAGGAGTAAACTATCAAGACTATGGAGGCTGGACTTTTGATCATTGCCTTCCAAATTGTTGTCTCCTCGGCCTTCATAATTCTTCTAATATAGACCCAACAAAATGCGAAAACATATATACAAAGTAGCGTAGTCGAGAAGACAAACATGAAGAAGAACCGATAGTTACGCTGCATGACAATTCACACAGGTTCAGATATACAAAATATCAAGAACGGCGTGTAAGATGCTGAAACTCGGAAATATACATACAATTGAAAGGTCCAACTTACCAGTCCAATGCACTGCCCAACCCAGGGGCAATGGTGATCGAACCTCTCTACACAGTTGTTGCAAATTGAGCAATGAGAGCATCGAGGAGGTCTGTAGAGCATGCAAGTATCACAATACTTAACTTTAACAACAATTCCGTTGACCTCAACCTCCTTGATGCGAGGCAATCGCAATTGCGGAGTTTGACCAGCCACAACATCTAAACCGCCTTCAAGACCTTCTGGCTCTGGAGGATGTGCATTGCGCGGGATTATACCAGGGTCGCGGCCAGACGTTGACAATAGAAGAACTACGATCTGGCAAAGGATTATACCATTAGCATACGGTAAATATTTTAGTGAAAACAAGTGTGCGTGAGTTGCAACATAGAACAATGCTTCTCATCATGCTTATAGACAAATGAAGTGTGTGCGTATGTGCGTGCGAGAGAGAGAGAGACTCACATAAATTGTGAAGACAACAGCAACTGCGATTATTGATATCCCCCAGTGATCAGAATAATCATCTATCAGTTTTCTGGCAACATAGATACAGAACACAACAACGGGAGCAACGATAAGAAAAATTGTCAGGGCTATCGATCTTGCATCTGGTCCAAATATGAACCGACCCTGAAGAAAAAATTTCTGCAACAAAGGGCTTAAAACAATTAATGTGTATCAACATAATGCAAAAATTGGCTCGAATATAACATATATTCCAAATAAAATTGCAGCAACTGTCACCGACATAGTTTCATTCTTTACAAAATCCGTGGATAAAACCATTAATGGAAAAGACTATACAACTTTTACCTAACAATGCAAAGAATTGGTCATGAACATGAGAATCTATGTCAGTCAGCCACCACTATATAGATGTTTACTCTCTGCAAATTCATACTCCAAAGTCCAAACAAACTAAAAATAGTAGCTTTATTTGAAGCTAAAAATAGTAGCCACTATAAGAGAAGAAAAAAAAATCTAAAGCCTAAAATAAACAGCACTATAGAATCAACACTTAATTTTTTTTGAAGCCTTATGAACTACTAATTTTTACTCTCTGCAAATTCATACTCCAAAGTCCAAACAAACTAAAAATAGTAGCTTTATTTGAAGCTAAAAATAGTAGCCACTATAAGAGAAGAAAAAAAAAATCTGAAGCCTAAAATAAACAGCACTATAGAATCAACACTTAATTTTTTTTGAAGCCATATGAACTACTAATCCAAAGGGACCAATCTCACCGTCAACTTGAAGAGGGCCCATTTAAAGCCAGAGCAAAGCTCAGACTTGTACTTTACAGAAATTATTAGCACCTAGCGGGATTTGAACCTGAGACTTTGAGAGAAGCACACTCTCAAGGCCAAGTCTTCACCAACATTAGGGTTATACTTAATTAACTTAACAAAAGGAATAAAAAGCCACCATCATCACCTATCTTTTTCCTAATGCTACTTCAAAACCTATCAAAGTTCTTAAACAAAACCCTAAAAATGCAAATTCCTCATCCATGAAAACAAAGCCTAAACCCAAATTCCATTCTAAATTAAATAAAAAAACAACAAATTGGAAAAAGGAATGAAAAAGAAAGTGTGTTACATACGTTAGAGCCTTTCCAAGCTTGGTAAATACGCAAATCAGAGGACCCTGAAGCCGGATCGGATCTCTGAGGTGGAGGAACAACATACATATTGTGTATATATCCCTAAAAGTAGAAGCTTTTTTCACAAACTATCTCTATCTATAAGGAAGTTGAAGAAAGCAAGAAACGAATTGAAACCCAACAGAGATTGGGAATGGAGGTTTTTCGGCGACAAGACACGATACGAGGGTTTGGTTTTTGAGAGTAAAGGTTGCTTTTCTTTGTTGTTGTTGGTGCTGTGTGAGTTTTGGATTTTGGATTCTCTTTTACTGTCACACACACTGTGATCTATGTCTATGCTTTACAGCATCTATTATATGATGATGTGGCTTTTTTTATTGTATATAATTTTTTATGTTAATTTTTATGATAAAATTATTTTAATTTGATAAGACTATTTAGTTGATATATACTTTAAATAGATTTATAATATTAATTTTTTTAAAATATTTAATTGATATTTTAAAATATACTCAAGAATTATTTCTTCACTTAAACCTAATCACAAAACATTTATTCTTGATGGTAAAGAAAATGCAATTTTAATTAGTGGAAAAAGAAGAAACAATCATCTTAAAGTATAATATAAATTACAAGAACTTTTCTAAAAATTAAATTAACTTTTATATAAAGTGGAACCATCCTTTCAATTCTAAATAAAAGTTCATTTTTAAATTTAATCATTTTCATAACATCTTTATAAAGAAGTAACATAAATCTAATAGGACAAGAGTTAAAAAAAATAAAGTTATGAAGGATTTTGAACTTCGACTATCATTATCACTTCATTTGGTGTGAAATTATTTGTATTAATAGAAAACTGCAAATTAATGTCGATGTTATCGTCATGACCAATCAATCAACATGTTGAATCACGAGATTGACGCCTCATGCGAACAACATGCCAATTGGATTAATGCATCATGAACAACTTTAAAATATGACTCATTAGACTGTAATGTGTATGTTGTAATTGTCAATAATCAAAACCATTATGGTGTAGGTATATGTATCATATATGACATAGGTAATTCTATTTGAGCATAAACAACTTAAAGATATGAGAGTCATTTACCTCATGAAGCCGAAGTGTTGGATTTGAAGCAAACAATAGTTTGACTGTGTAAATCCAATCTCTGATTTGAATTTGATATTATTGTATATGTTTACAAAGATTCTTTATTATTGTTACAAAATTCTAATATAAAATTTATTAGGAGACAAGTCGAGGACGTTGTTCACTTGTTAGCTAGATAAAGTTCATCATTATCTTTTACTAGTCACGTTAATCATATTTCATCATATATCGTTTGGATGACTGAATTAATTAAATTTGTTTATATACAAAGATAAAGAAAAATACAAATGAGACTTCATTTATACTAATTATTCACACTCCATTGTGAATAAAAATGTTATGGTCCTTTAGTAAAAAAATCAAAAATCAAAATTGAGAAACCATAAATCATTTCATTCAACATTGGGAATTGATTTGTATGTTAAAAATTAAGAAAACCAAATAATATAATAAATTAATTTATGTGATATGATATGATAAATTGATTAATGTTAACAAAATCAAAACTCGCCCATAAGGCAGGGGAAAATTAGTTATTAACCCTTAAAATAATGACAGTAGCAACTTAAATGTCAGTAAAATTTAGATTCCTAGCCTAACATATAAAGATTCTACTGATTCAGTCCTTCATAAAACCAAGTCATCAAAAATGATTTTTTGATTATATTCCAACCCATCATCTTCTTGGTTACATTCCAGCGCCTCATCTTCTTGGTTACATTCTAGTCCCTCATATTCATCTTGGTTACAAATAAGTCCTTCAGCTACTGAATTAGTTTAAACAGTTACCAGATAAGGTATGTCATCTAATATATGATCTTCTTGTCACATACAATATGATCAATGGTCCCATATAAAGTGATATCCATTATTGCATCCTCAGACACAATGTCCCCCTCCAAATTAACATCTTGAC